AATAATGTCAGAAAGCTGCTTGCTGGACTACCCCCTTTGCTTGAATGATTTTTTTGTTTTTTAATACTTTTAAATAAGGGATTTTATAAAGAAAGTGCGCACTGACTTTTGGAAACTTTTGGAAAGCTTCACAACTAAAGAGCTTAGGAAAATAGAATCTCCAAATTTTCAATAGAAATCTCCATCCAAAAGCCTCCAAAAGCATCAAATCTCGATGAAAATCTCGAATTTTTTTAATAGAAATCTCCATCCAAAAGCCTCCAAAAGCATCAAATCTCAATGGAAATCTCAAATTTTTGAATAGAAATCTCCATCCAAAAGCCTCCAAAAGAATCAAATCTCAATGGACATCTCCAAATGTTTAATAGAAATCTCAATCCAAAAGCCTGTAAGATAAGCAAATCCCAGCAAATTCAAAAGGGAAAAAGTAAACTATAACAATAAAAAGAAATCCACTACAACTACCCCTCCAAAAAAAAAAAGACATTATTCTAGGGGCCTTTATAAATCAGTGCAGGGAAAAAAAAAGACATAATTCTAGGGGGGTTTATAAATCTGAGGGCCACATTAGACAGCATCTTGTGTGGCGATGCCTCGAGGAAATTCCAACATGCGTGTTCGTGTACGCTCAGAACAAAAATACTAACATGAAGTCATGGCATAAGGTGTACACCACATGGTGCAAGTGAAACTCAATCTTCAATACCAGAAAGTTTGTGCGAACAAGTTCCTGGTCACACTGCTAAAAAAAGAACAATAAAGTATCACATCTGCTTCCTGTGCAATCGGAAGGAACCGCGCCACCAGTTTAAAAACCCACCAATTCTACATACCCAAAACAACACAAGGAACAATGGGAACTCTGCGCGAGGTACCAAAATGAGGGTCCAAACACCTGTAGACCTCTCATCCTGACGTGTATTTGACCCCCAGTACATTGTTCCCTGGACACTGAACCCCTGACATGTCCAGTATACGAGGGGCTGCGCACAAAATGAACATTTTCTGGGAAAACTCTTGCCGAGGAGCTGCCAACGATGAAACTTTGGTGCCAATTCCCGTGATCCAGCCCTTGCATTGCCAATCCGAGTTCCCAAACATCTTCTGTCTCCTGCTTTTTCTTCCTGAAGGCGGTTGGAATCGTTATTTAAACATATGTATTGCACCAAATCTTTGGTTCGTGGTTAAGTTGAAAGCCTTAGTCTTCCAACACCTCTCATGCTGTGTTTCAACCCGCAAGAGGCACGGTGCCTCTGGAGGTCTTCCCACATGGCACCGATAGTCAGGTTCGATCCATGAGATTTCTACCACCACATGAAATCCTTTCGCCATCCTCCCTTCGTCCTCCCCGAGATCCTCACAGCGGGTGTCGGGTTAACTTCTGTTAAGCTTCTCATGAAAGGATCCGGTGAACCCTCTGCAGGAATAGGTGTGTGGGGTGAAACTCGAGCCCTTTACAAATGGTGAAACCTGACGATCTGTATGCAAGGACCTCATGAAAACTGAAAACTACCTTAGGCAAATTGGGATCTCAACATCGTTACAGAACTTGAACATCCTCCACACGTATCAGTATCAGGACAATGTTCTGCAAACAACACATGAACTCCAACGGCATGTTGAATTACAATGTAAAGCGTGCCACCAAACAGAAATAACATGAAACAACACTGTAATTTCTGAGTGTTTCCTACAGGAATGATTCACAAGTCCCCGACTACAATGAAGCCCCCTTGTTGCTCATACTATCGGGTAGAGTGTACCCCAACTCGAAAACTTTTTCTATAACGCTGTGTTCATCCTTTGTACATGCATGACTGATTCAGACCAAACTGTGAGACCAAACTGTGAGTAGTATCCAAACAGGCGGATCCAAACAAGTCTCCAGCATCACCACAAGAAAAAGACTCGGTTTGAAGCCACGTAGTGCAAAAAAGATTCTCCAGGGTGCCCGCTCGCCCAAATGGAACCTGAAGCAAATGGTCCCCTTAAAAGGGCAAATCTGCTGCAAACAAGCCGTATGAAGCAGTTCAGCATCCCGAACGCCTCTTTTCTTTTTTCCGCTTCTGAACGGCATCCTGAACGGTTGCAAAGACCCAGTGGGCTGCTTTGCACGTGTTTTGCTTTCTCTGCATTGGTGGGCTGCAAGTGGAGTAGACCCTGGTGCTTGTCGGAATTTATGTCGAATTCGTTAGTATATTTACTTCATAATATTGCTTAATATTAGGGACTACTCGTTGATTAATTCTTCCACTGACTCTACTAAGTAATAAATGAGTGCGTGAAATAATGACTCCTCAACAAGGACTTTGAAACCTTGAAAGATCTGTCGTTCATTGTCATCCCCATGTCATCAGTATATTGACCACTCCAAAAAACACTACCCATTTTGTCTACTCGCCCTGAATTCTCACATGTACTTTACAAATGGGCACCATATCAACATGACTCCTGATGTCGACTCCGCCCTCAGTCAAGACTCCAAAAGGTGTGTCGCGTAACAAGTCGAAACCCAACCGGCGCAGGTCAGGACTGAGCTGGGAGAACCACTGGGAGAAGCTGAGGAATCCTCATGCTCAGGTTTGCTGATTGCTGATGGATCAGAGCCTCAAGGAAGTCCATGGCAAACCAGGTTCCAAGTCTTCTGCCACTGGACGGTTCAACCATTCCTACCCCCCCGCTCAACCCCCGCCCCGCTGGGGTCCTCTTCCGCCGACACGGCACCTGGGCCGTTGCACCGAGGCCGTCGGTGGAAACGGACCGAGGCCACCAGGTGGATCAAATCCTTACCACTCAGGCGACCCAAGCTTATCAGTCCCTGCTGGGTGTGATCTCCGAGTGCCACACCCAGCAGGTCAAGATGGTAAGGGAACTTTCACACCCAAAGTTTGTGTGAAGGTTTCCTGAACATGTGTTTCTGTATGTTTCTATAGAACCCTGTCTGACAAACATTACTAGCTCGGGTTTGAACAAAACAATGGACGCCTACTGGCTGGTCACCTAGCAGCCAACTGAACTAGTAACTAGTCAAACAAAACCTCCTGAACCATTGCCTGTCAACTCCCAATCACTCAGTATGGGGAACAACACATTCGACAGCTGACGTACCTTCGGCGGTCTTGATGCCATTTTCCTTGCCCTGGCCCAAGAAGTGAAGCACAAGGCGGGGGAATGCTATATGTGTCGCTACGTGTGTTTCATGATACATGTGACAGAGTTGGACATTGAACAACATCTTAGTCAACAAACAAACAAAACATGTCAACACGTGTCCATCCAAATCTCTTGGTGACGCAACACTTCCGGCTAAGCGGTCGATTACGGTGAGGTGACCTAATTACGTGACCAGGTGCGTCACCACTTCGTTGTGAAAAACGTTTACAATGGACCCCGTGCAACCTGCAGGGATTTCGCAGCGATGCGATGCGATGCTGCAACATGATCTGGGGTTTGCTTCATTTTGTTACGCGACGTCAGGGTGCTTCCGCAGAAAAATGAGACCAAACAAACCTGCCTAGTAAGTACTTATATAGGTCTTACAACAATGACCTGACGGCGAAGCCCACCACCTCCAATAGCAGGGATTGCATACGCTCGATACAGCGACGCTGGCAATGGGACAGTTGACTAGCGAACAAAACTCAGGAACCCATCTTTCACTCCTAGAACCGTGACAAGAAAACGATATCTAAAAATTCAGTTCAGACGCAATGAAAGGGATGGTGAGTCATTCGGAAAAACTCCGACAAAAGCATTCTGGTAGGAACCCTTTGTGGTCAGCATACAGTCCTGCTTTGGGATGTCTAACTGGGTAACACGACCCCGAATGACTCGCGCAGTCGTGGGTGTGGCACTTATGTCATCGATGGTAATTCTCAGTGTTTTCCGGAATGCGTAGCGAAGGGTTCTCGTTTAACTCTTGGGGGTCTGGGGGGAGCCTTGTTCGCGACCCGTTGCTTCTATGTTCGCAACCGTTCGTAATCGTTCGCAACCGTTCGCAACCGTCCGCAACCGCCCGCAACCGTCCGCAGTAGGACGCTAAGGCGCTGCCATTGGGGGAAGCTTTTGCAAGTGACTTTTCATGGATGTGTCACGTGTCAGTTTGCGACGCTATTCCATTGTGATTTGCATGAAAATGACATGTCGCGCAAGAAGCGTGATGCATTTCGCTGCACAGGCGCAGTGGTTTGAGAGATCCGTAGTTTACTGCGCAGTTCCATTGGGATTAGCGTTTGGAGAGTCGTGTTTTTGGGGTGTTGGATGTGGCCGTGCCATTGGGATTTGCGTTTCAGGGTGTGGCATCGAAGCTCTGTTTTCGTGACAAGTCTCAGCTGAAATGGCGATTTTGGTGGATGGGAGTGTGCTCAGAACGGGTCGAAGTCATTCTAAACGTGTGGTGTGGTGCAAATTTTGTTGAAGCTCACGTGCGATGATATTCTCACTTTTCGTGGCAGGCACAGTACTTTGTGCTGATTTTGAGGTGTGGAAGTGCGATTTTCCTGGCAGGCGCAGGAAATCGTGAGGTTGCGAGGTGTGACGGAGGTGACATTTCGTGGCAGGCGCAGTACTTTGTGCGCGTTAGACTTGTGGATGCGGAAAGATTCGTGGCAGGCGCAGGGAATCGTGAGGTCGTGAGTTGTGGTAGAGGTGAATGTCGCTGTCACATTGGGATTGGCGTGTGAGGGGGTATTGTTTGGAGGGGCTGGACTCGCGAAACTGCTTGGCAGGGCTGCGTGATGTGTGTGTGCTCCGATGGGTGTTTCCGCTTGACTTTTGGAGGATGTCTCGTACGAAATCCTCGTTTTGCAGACTTTGACATGTGAGTTTTGGAGGAAGTCTCGTACGAAACGCTCGTTTTGGAGACTTGACACGTGACTTTTGGAGGAAGTCTCGTACGAAACGCTCGTTTTGGAGACTTGACGTGTGACTTTAGGAGGAAGTCTCGTACGAAGCGCTCGTTTTGGAGACTTGACGCGTGACTTTTGGAGAAAGTCTCGAACGAAACGCTCGTCTTGCGCAGCCTCGAAGCGTGACTTTTGGAGGACGTCTCGTACGAAACGCTCGCAGGACTGCTTCTAGTGTGCCACAAGAGTGTCCCACAAGAGTGTCCTACAAGAGTGTCCCATAAGAGTTTCCTACAAGAGTGTCCCACAAGAGTGTCCCACAAGAATGTCCCACAAGAGTGTCCCACAAGAGTGTCCCACAAGAGTGTCCCACAAGAGCGTCCCACAAGAGTGTCCTACAAGAGTGTCCTACAAGAGTGTCCCACAAGAGTGTCCCACAAGAGTGTCCTATAAGAGTGTCCCACAAGAGTATCCTACAAGAGTGTCCCACAAGAGTTTCCTACAAGAGTGTCCCACAAGAGTGTCCCACAAGAGTGTCCCACAAGAGTTTCCTACAAGAGTGTCACGCCAGAGTGTCCCACAAGAGTGTCCCACAAAATTGTCCCACAAGAGTGTCCTACAAGAATGTCCTACAAGAGTGTCCCACAAGAGTGCCCCACAAGAGTGTCCTGCAAGAGTGTCTCACAAGAGTGTCCCACAAGAATGTCCGACAAGAGTGTCCCATAAGAGTGACCCACAAGAGTGTCCTATAAGAGTGTCCCACAAGAATGTCCGGCAAGAGTGTCCCATAAGAGTGACCCACAAGAGTGTCCTATGAGAGTGTCCCACAAGGAGTGTCCTACAAGAGTGTCGTGTAAGAGTGACCCACAAGAGTGTCCCGGAAGCGTGTCCTACAAGAGTGTCTACAAGAGTGTCCCGCAAGAGAGTCCCACAAGAGTGTCCTGCAAGTGACCCACAAGAGTGTCCTACAAGAGTGTCCCACAAGAGTGTTCCACAAGAGTGTCCCAGAAGAGTGTCCTACAAGAGTGTCCCGCAAGAGTGTCCTACAAGAGTGTCCCACAAGAGTGTCCCACAAGAGTGCCCCGCAACAGTGTCCCACAAGAGTGTCCTGCAAGTGACCCACAGAGTGTCCCACAAGAGTGTCCCAGAAGAGTGTCCCACAAGAGCGTCCTATAAGAGTGTCCCACAAGAGTGTCCTACAAGAGTGTCCCACAAGAGTTTCCCACAAGAGTGTCCCACAAGAGTGTCCCACAAGGTGTCCTACAAGAGTGTCCCGCAAGAGTGTCCCACAAGAGTGTCCCATAAGAGCGTCCCACAAGAGTGTCTCACAAGAGTGTCTCACAAGAGTGTCCCTTAAGAGTGCCCTACAAGAGTGTCCTGCAAGAGTGTCCCACAAGACTGTCCTACAAGAGTGTCCTACAAGAGTGTCCCACAAGAGTGTTCCAGAAGACTGTCCTACAAGAGTGTCCCAGAAGAGTGTCCTTCAAGAGTGTCCCACAAGATTGTCCCACAAACGTGTCCGACAAGAGTGTCCTATGAGAGTGTCCCACAAGAGTGACCCACAAGAGTGTCCCATAAGAGTGTCCCACAAGAGTGTCCTACAAGAGTGTCCCATGTCCCACAAGAGTTTCCTACAAGACTGTCACACAAGAGTGTCCCACAAGAGTGTCCTACAAGAGTATCCCACAAGAGTGTCCTACAAGAGTGTCCCACAAGAGTTTCCTACAAGAGTGTCACACAAGACTGTCCCACAAGAGTGTCCTACAAGAGTATCCCACAAGAGTATCCCACAAGAGTGTCCCACAAGAGTGTCCTACAAGAGTGTCCCACAAGAGTGTCCCACAAGAGTATCCCACAAGAGTTTCCTACAAGAGTGTCCCACAAGGAGTGTCGTACAAGAGTGTCGTGTAAGAGTGACCCACAAGAGTGTCCTACAAGAGTGTCTCACAAGAGAGTGTCCCATAAGAGTGCCCGACAAGAGTGTCCTACAAGAGTGTCCCACGAGAGTGTCCTACAAGAGTGTCCCACAAGAGTGTCCTACAAGAGTGCCTTTCAGGAGTGTCCCACAAGAGTGTCCTGTAAGAGTGTTCCACAAGAGTGTCCTACAAGAGTGACCCACAAGAGTATCCTACAAGAGTGTCCCAGAAGAGTGTCCCACAAGAGTGTCCTACAAGAGTGTCATTTGGACATATGTAGCTTTTCGAACGTGTTTGCATTCGGGTTCGTGGGCTCCATCTTTTTTTTGATGCATATCGTTTGTCTCAGGTAATTTCCGCATATTTTCACTCCTTTTTCAACCTGTATATGCATTTACATTGGGATTCACAAGCGAACCATTCCCTCCAACTCCCAAAAAGTTGCATCATCAGTTTTCACGTTGAACGCACAGTGTTTGCGTCAGCATGACCATCCGGCATGGCTGACGCTGACGTCACAGACAAATTGCGAAAACGGAAGAGACATGAAGAGACCGACTCAACACAAACAAAGAGGCTGTGACCCTTGGTGCTATGCACGATTGTTTTTAAAATTCGTCCCACACGGACAGCCAACACACCCATAAAAAATCACCGTTCTCCTCGAGACAATAGAAATCTAACACCCACCAATCAGGGTCTAAAGAAATGTCCAGCACGGTGAGACCTAATGAATCCTTGACCGACGCCAAGTCCAGCAAACTGTCCAAATATATAATGTCCACCCGAAAAGAGGTTCAACAACGGGGCGGGGCGGAAAGAAACAAGACGAGTCACAACGAGTCAACCGAAGAGGAACACAACGCACAAAAACACACAACAACGACGGCTTCCCTTCCCACAGCAGACTCCAGGTGCTCCAGCACCTCTCCAGCCAGACCCTGAGTGGCGACTATGAGCACATCGTCGGTCAATATTGCTTGCAATCTCTTCCCAACGTTTCCTGTGTCTGAGTCTCTCTTTAGCATACATACCTGAAGACTATTGAACCATTTGCAAATCGTTCTATAGAGAAAACCTCTTTATAGCCTGGGATGCCCAACCTCGGGAGACAAGGCAGCAGTGGCGCAGCAGCGGCAAACCCAAACGCCGATCAGGCAAACAAGTGGGGAGACAGGTAAGCAGCAGCACAGCAGCCGCACAGCAGCCACAGCAGCGGCAAACCAAAACGGAATGCAGGCACCCAGTCTTTGAGAAGCAGGTACCCCTATAGCCTATAGCTATCACGCTATCTGGGGAATGAGGTGACCAACTATTACGTAAAAAATAAAATAACAACAATCTGGCAAGTGGCTCTATGAAATGACCAAACCAAGCTCTGTGATGTATAAAGCTACAGTAGATTTTTGTGTTGTCTATGAAATGCCAATCCAACTCAACTGCACAAGTGTTTTTGTCCAGCCCAGGGACCGAATAGAGGGTGCACGCATGGGGGGCATACCGGCAAAGCAACAAGCTGTACCTAGGGGGAGACAAGAGGTAGAAAGCAAAGCTAAACAGCCACGCTGTGGGATTAGACAATGATGTACATATGTACAAGTTACATTGGTCTCTTGAACCAAGTGAAAACATGTTAAAACATGTGTTACTTTAAACTACACTATCGCTTCACCGACATGTTGAAGCCGCTCCAAATCCCAAAATGGAATTCCACATGTCACATGGCTTATCTGCTTATCTTCTATGAGCCAGGAGGACCCTGCTGAAAACGACACCTCGTTTAAAATACAACTTCAGGCTTGTGCCTGTTCTATCCAAGGTAGCCTTTCTATTGAATGGGTACCTGATATTGCATTTAATAGATGCCAATGATCCCCATTGTATCGAGAACCATTCACCGGGTATCTTTTAGCCATGTCTCAAAGTGACAGCCAGAACAAAACACCCAAAGAGTTCGGCATCGAGAAAAGAACCCACCGATTCTCTTCTCATACCTTCGAAGGCGCTCAAGTGATCGCTTGCGCCGTGGAAGCTGCGCCTTGGGCTCACCGGAGGAGGCTTCATCCTGCTGAAAAACGGTGGCGGTTTTGCCCAGGGCGGGCATCAAAACATAGGTTGGCCTAGCTCGTCCGTTGCTGACCTCTTGGAAGGCTCTGGTAGCGCAGTTTTGTCTCAAAAGGTTCAAAGTGGGTTTTGGCAAGCCCATTCCAAGTCGCAGAGTAGCAGTGAAAAGGCTAGCGATAACTCCGCGTCAGGACACGCAGATGCAACAGTTGATGCAATATTCAATATATACCGCCCTCTTCAGAACCCCCAGTATCATACTCCAATTCGATGTGGTGGGGTAATCGCTTCCTTATACGGATGGTCTGACGGCCAGATCCTCTCCGAAAGTCGGAGCACCCCATGGGTTTCTGCGAGATGAACGGTGAGCCACAAGTTAGACAGAAAAAACAGGTGTGCCGGATTTTTGTAAACCTTTGCGCAGGGATTCACCTGCAATATCTATCCAGGTCTTGAAGAAACAACCAAAACATCAACATCTGGCCGAAGCAGCAACACCAAGAAGATCTGGGCAGGCTTGGGAGTGCCAAAGAAGCTTGCCGGTGGCCGTAAACGGCGATGCCCTTGTTGCTAGTATCGTCCTTGTTCCTAGTGCCAGGACCCTTGGAAGAAGGTAAAGTGCCCATACTCTGCTGAGTTACCTATGCGGTTTCCCAGGGTCAGATTTTGTGGGAAAGGTGGCTAACACGCTTTCGGCTTCGCGCAACACCAAAGGCTCCGTCTTCATGGGTTTTGCTACCTTTCATACAATTGAAATGAGCCTTCATGAAGGGTTTGGTTTCGCTTGTGTGAGTTGACAGTCTAGTCTGAATGGCTCATCATCCAAATCCAAATAAAAACACTGCTCAAATGAGGCCACCAAAAAAATGTACCGTTTGTCCCACTATATTTTTATATGCATGTGAATCAGTGTGAACAAGAAAATACAAACACCAGTCACATATACAGGCTCACCAGCAACACCGGCAACACCTGGACCTCTCACTGATGGACATGGAACAAAAGCACTATATAGCTACAGTAACAACTTGCCAGCTTCCATGATGCAGGTTGGAACTGTTCTCTCATTTCATTAATTGAATCAAGCATCCGCTCCACCCCAGTTGCTTCCCACCCCGTTTGAACCCCTTTTCCTTTTCCGCTCCCACTCCGCACCTCGCGGGGCTTCAGCCGCGCTTTGGTCCGGGACGCCGCGGGACCCGAGGGCGTCGCCGGAGCCGGGTGCTTCCGCGCCAAGTCCTGGAGAGGAGGACGACCGGAGGATGAGCGGTTGAGAAGCGACGTTCTTTGTGAAGGGCTGAGGAAACAAGAAAGGATATCTGGAAACAAATGATGGTGTTTCTGTGTAAGAAAGAGACATTGCTTCTGCGAAGAGAAGAGATTGGATGAGATTGTATCTTGCGATACTGTGGAAGATCCTGGAGACAGGAAAGAACATCCAGGCAAGACTTTACTACAGACATATAACTTGCTCTTATCGTCGATTCTGTCCATCATTGGGTGCAGATTCCGGTCTCTTCAAGACCCCACAAGACCATCAGTAGCCAAAGCCTGGAAAGCTGACCTGACGACCAACTATACTGTTTGACACAACAGAATGTTGGCAGAGTACTTGGAAATGAACAAATGTCCAGGATCGCCTCTTCATTCCCAGTAGGAACACCTGGCATTGTGAGCTGGCACCGTCAGTCTGTTTGATAGTGTTTGAAAGCCACCGATGGGCCATGCAGCGCAAGGTTGGCTGGCGCATACGGTTTTGGCTGTGCACTGCACTTCATTGATCTGTCCGCGAATGGACATTGTATTAGCATGTACTGGCAACGCCCCTACATGCCCCAACAGCAAACGCTATAGAAATGGGAAGGGGTGGCGCCATCGGCGTCCGTGAGTGCGAAGACACAAGTTCCCAACATCAAGCACTCAAGTTCCTCCTCAGTTCCTTTAGTTCCCCTCCTGCGCTCATTCGGTCCTGAGCCAAAACATTCAGAGCCGTCCGGTTGGTGGCCAGAAAGGCGGCAACTGAGTCGCCTGGCACGAGTCAAATCTCTTTGGAGAAACACGCACACTTTTGTGTAGAGGAGATTTGGGAATATGGTGATTGCCATTGATTGGCCTTCCTGTAGCCAAAAAAACTCCTTGGTGGAATTTTGATTTCTTGAAAGAAGGAGACCCTCATAGAATCACCGCTGATGCCGGCGTCTTCAATCTCAGCCAGCACTCCTCATCATGCCAGAAAAAATCCTAGCGCAAGCGAAAACTAACGTGAGCGTACAAGTACTTTAGAACGTGTGAAGGTTGTGGCCTAAACGAGCGTACCCATGAAGCAAACGGTGTTTAGACTCTGACCATCCTGTCTGTAGCCCAGCCAGGACACCGTTTGAACCGTTTGGATGGTCCAATTATGTTGAAGGTAATCACTGCTTGGGCGGGACACATGTGTTAGTTGTGTTTGTGTAGAGGGGCAAGGCACGGATGACCTCGGCCACTACGGAAAGTCATTCACAGGCCACTTGGCATCATGATACGGTATCACATAGATCGTTTTCTATATGTGTAATGTAGACCTGTGAATAATGAAACCATTCCGGTAGGGCCCATTGCAAAAACCCGGAGCCAGCAAAGCACCACGCTGGGGGGGACAAGACCAGAGCTTGAGTGCACCAAAGCGCTTAGCGCATCACCTGAACGTCTTCAGTCTCAGCTGCAAGATTGGCATGTACTACAAAGAACAACATGTTGATGCAAACGATGTGAACAAGTTGGGTAAATAACATAGGTCTTGGAAACTCTACTTTCCTTAGCACAAGCAGCGCATGTTGTTTTGCCCTGACATCCCCTAAAACCAAACGCAAAGACCTGTCACCCATCTATATCTATATGTATATAACTGTATATATATAGAACCGATAGATTCTAAAGTCCAAAAAAACGGCGGATAGCTGCAACTCCTCCCACCAGTTCGGCCCGCCTTCTTGGAGCTTCTCTGGATCCAACTCCTCCTTCTCCTGGCGTTTCGGTTTTTCCTTTCCTTGCTTGAACAAAACGACCGAAACCGGGAAAACATTGTTTCTCGCTGCACCAAATGGACACCACTCTATATAAACCAGTATCAAGAACAGTGAAATTGTATGATTCCATGTCTTTGTGAAGTATCCTCCTCGTTCAAAACACAATTGTTGTGATTTGCAGTGCAGTTCCATGTGGTAACTGCCGGACCCGAACGTGCTGAATGAACCACCGGCAAAACATCAGCCTTGCTTTTTGCGAAACCGCGCACATATTCCACAATAGTTTGTTCTTGACTTGCAAAAAGGCCAGAATTTGTATTCTACCATGGTATACCAACTTGTACGTTGGAGCACCACCTATCTAAAACTATGTCCTGATATTTTAAAAAGTATATATATATATATACTTGAGGACAGTGGGGACGAAAGCGACGGGTGTGGAAGGATCAAGGGGACGCGGAGGGAGGGCAGCAACGCAACGCTTTGAGCTTATCCAAAGGCTTGTAAAGCCAAGGCTGAGTCAACCGAACACCAAAAAAAAGCATCGACTTTCATATTGTCTTTTCTAGGCATTTGGTATGCTTTCTCACAAGGACGAGGGAGGAGTCGAATAGCCTCTTTCAATTCACTTTACAAGTGGCTTGGACTGTTCCGTTCTATGTGACGTCGGCTCTTCTCAGCAAGTTAACGTGCTATTGACGACATGTTGTGCGCGTGTTGACCTCGCGTGGCACAGTGGTCGCAGCAGTATTTGCAAGCTACGTATACTAAAAATCCTTGTTTATTATAATGAGTTAATAAAAACATACTCACTTATGTTCATTTAGCAACTAGTTTTAACTTTGTGCTAACTAAATATAACTAGGTTTTAACTATGTACAACTAGTGCTATTTTTAACATATGTTAAGTTAGTTAGTAATTTTCTGATGAAGTTGTGTAACTAAGGTAATTTAAGTTAACTCTGTGTAACGCTGAGAACTTGATCTAGCTCATTTTCATTTACCAGAAAATGATGATGTGGTTGTATATTAATGACATTAAATAGATATGCGCTGACCAAACGGAAAAAACCTAATCAAAAACCTCTATTTTTTGTGGCTTATATTTCCTGAACATTTTATTGAAATTCCAATTGACTTTCCTTTTTGGTTGACATGCAAAAGCTGGTCAAAACACAAATGCCTGTTTTGTGGCACACTCTGCATGACATGTCACAACCCACAAAAGCCATGTTTTGGCCACATTTGTTTTCAAATGTTTCTGTGGGCATGCATTGGACCCGCATTTTTTGGAACAAGATTTGCCAACCCCAGTGTGCCAGCAAATTGCAGCCAGCAATGGTGGACATCTCCCACCGCTGCCAAATCAAATACCGCCATCCAAATGCATTGCCTTTGCCAAGAACAACATTAAGGTGTCGCCATTGAGCCAAACAAACCACATTTGGAGGCAGTGTGCAAAATAACAACTGCAGCTGAGCCAATATGGCAAATCATGTGAGCCATGAGTATGATGACGACGACGACGATGATAAGCTCTGTCGTACTCGACAGTACATAGAGCGCCAAAAGTAAACTGTACACCACGGCCAAAATGGCAAGGAAAAAGCCGCTGGACACCAAACCATAGCCATGACCAGGACCATCCCCCAAGAAGTCCAGGAAATAGATGAGCAAAGTGATCCAGCATCAAAAAGTTCAGTTCAGCGAAAGAAACCGGGAGATGCCCAAAGCACTGCACACATTGCACCACCACATCAAAAACATCAGGATCGCCGAGGTCGAGAATCTTCCTGGAGGTCCAAAACTTTCTTGGCCAAGGCGCCAGGACGCGAGGAAGCCTTGTGGAAAGTGACGTCCTGGTAGCTAAACGGCTGGAGGTCGTATGACAAAAGCTGCATGGCCAAAACCCCATCGCCAGAGAAAGTGAAATCCAAACTGAGGTGCCAAACCTTCTCCATAGCCTCCAACTCCAATGGTTCACGGCTGTGAAAACGACAGCATGAAGAACAATCTGCCCATCCAAGGAGTGGAGCTTGCTAGCCGCTGCCACAGCCATCTGGGCACGAGCCTCTTCTGCGGCGGTGGAACGGAGCTTGATGCATTGAAGAAACCAGGTCCAAAACTTGACCCGCAAAGTCTGAGCGGCGTAGGTATTCCGGGCTTCTGCGTCAGCCAGAGCACATGCCGCCGGGTCATCACCCGCAGAATTGCGAGACTTCTTGGCACGCTCATTTGAAACAGATTCTTTGGACTTAACATGGTCATCAAAAAGCTGCTGCACTTCACCAACAGCGGGCCCACGAAGGTGCACGATGAGTTCATGTCGAATCTTTTCTCGGCAAACATCCTTGTCTGTGGCCAACGCAAGTTGAGCAATGAGCTTTTGGGAACGCTCGAGAGAGTCCAAGCTCTTCTTGAGGTCAGCCACGGCCATTGAGGCGACAACAAGTTGGCCAAAAAAGCTGAGCAAAAAAAAGCTGTCACTGAACACATAACTCAGTGACTCGCACACAAGCCCAGCAGTTGCACCAATCGCCAATGATGGCATTCATGTGAAACAGTTGCACACTTGTACCTGCAGCCATATATGCACATATAGGTCTCAAGGGCACGATGGCCAGAATCATTGACAACCGCCATTGTAACTGGGAAGGCCAAACCATGTACATCATCTTGTTTGACAATGGCTGGCAGCAGTGGCTCTTTGGCAGCAAAGAGATGACCAACATGTTAATAACAACCACCAAAAACAATATATGTGTGACCACTATCTAGAGGACATATAGAGGACTATATATATTCAATCAAATCAACACTTTTTGGGCTCAGGTACGAGCCAGCCACAGGGCCAGACCACCATGCCTTCAGCAGATGGGCCTATGGAGGAAACAGAAGAGAAGTTCATACCTTGGTGGACAACAACACTTGTATCACCAGGAGCAGACAGTATCTGGATCCAAATTGATGACCATTGTAAGTTGAAGAACCATTGTAAATTGATGACCATTGTATTTTGTTCCCAAGCCCAGTTCTTTGCGCTGGTGTATGAGCAGCATGGACCCAGGATTTCCAACCACCGGTTGGTCCAACTGCTGCTGTACAGGGAGCCATACTCCAACTTCCAGCACATTGTGGACCAATGGTTTAACCCACATGAGGCACCAGCTGCACCATAGGGCCACTGGGTTAATTCAACATGTTGTTGCGCAGCACAGTTGAATGTGTTCCACCCAGGTTGTTTTGTGTACATTGATGTAGACCATGAGTTCAATGTTTGGTTTTGGTGTTTCAATCTTTTGTTTCCAATGGCACCAAGGCGAGCAGCAAAGGCCACCTTTTGATTTGCAATGGCAAAGACCATGCTATCAGCAAGCGTTTTAAAAAAACAGCTTGCCAAGCAGCAATGTTTGAGCCTAGCCAATATTTGCATTCATGTTCTGTCCTTCTTGCCATTCTAAAGTTTAAATATGTAAATAGTAATGCTTTTTTGAGCCATTGTTGCATTCATAGAATGCGTGTCCATTGCTACATTGCATGTAACAAACAGTTGTCAGCTCCAAGCCAATTTGGAATTGCATCAGGATGTGTTGTGTTAAGCCCAATTAACCAAGCCAGCATGTGGCATTCCATCAACATATGCCTGTCCTTTTCCCAAAGCCAGAATCATCTGTCTGTTGCTCTTCCAGCCCAGCTGCCCAAGTGTTGCTCCAAGCCCACAGCCTGTGCGCTCCAGCTGCCTCATGCCAGCCATGAAGTCCATGAAGGCCATGACCAAGCAGATGAAGACAACCAATGAAGGCCATGACCAAGCAGATGAAGACAACCAAGGTTATGAAGGCCCATGCCATGGCCAAGGCCATGAAGCCCACCAAGGCCATGAAGGCCATTGAGCCAGAGGATGTGGTTGCTGCCAACTCCAAGCCACTACTCTTTGATGCCACCTTGGAGTGCCAAGGCCAAGGTGGCCAGTGTCCATCGCAGATATCTCTCGGGCCCCCCTGGCCTCTAAAATGAAATGTCGGAGGGCGATTCTACCTGGCAATTCCAACAGTTGGGGCAGGCTGACTTTATCCTCGGAACTGCCATGCCATTTGCCCTTCTTCTACCAAGGTGACAGCTAAGAAGAGCAAACACTGGCATTGCATTCAGCTTCGTCGAGACTTGTTTCATGTTGATCTAACTTGGCTGACACCAGAGACGAAGCACAGCACGAGTTCTGCATTCATTGTCGATCTGCCAGGGCACCTACAATGCTCTGACCCCAACCCTAGCAACACCAGGCCGCTTCAAACAATTCAGACTGAGCTGGCCGCTTCAAACACCAGGCCACTCCTCGGCCACACCGGTAGCGATCATCTTAGCCTCCTGGGACAATCCCAACGTGAGTCTATGAGCTTCCTGCTTCGACAATCCCAACCCCCCAACTCACTCACCCAATCGCAACGTGGGAAGCAAAAGCAAACAAACTGTAACTCTGCAGGCAAGAAGTTATAATAGATCATCATCATGCCAACCCCTGCTGTCCAGCTTCCCCGCTTTTCCTTTCTAAAATCATAGATATGACTAGTGAATAGGTCAACAGCAACAATCTGATATTCGGTGGATGGATGTGCAGGTTTGTTATACACCTGCTACATCCTGCGAACGTTCTGGCCAAAGCGCGTGCCTCCGTGACCAAACCAACGAGACCAAAGCCCATGTACTTCGCTCCCCGATCAAAACCCTGGCTCAAACGACAGCAACTTTGCCCAAAGAAATCCTGGCTCAAACTTTGAACAAAACCCATTTCTTCTGCAAGTCTTGGCTGTAAGGGCCTTCTCGTACAATGGAAGACCCGAAGGGCAAATAAGAAGTGGTTGCGTCGCCTTGGAGTGCCGTGCAGGGGGATTCAATGTCACCAAGCCCAGCTAAGCCCATGTTTGTAGCGCAGGGTTCAAACCAAAACGTGGTGTCTGCAGCTTTCCGTTTTCCACCTGATGCCGCCAAACGCTGGCAAGCTACCTGCTTCTTCTTCACCCACACGTAGCGCGGAGGCGGCATGGCTGATCAACCCAGAATTGGTTGGTAGTTGATGGCAACATTTGCGTCCTAAATTCAATTAAATTCAGATGATTTGATGTGGTAGTGGTAGTGGTAGTACTAGTCGTCGTCGTCGTCGTATAGTAGTAGTAGTAGTAGTAGTAGTAGTAGTAGTAGTAGTAGTAGTAGTAGTAGTAGCAGGAGTAGTAGTAGTAGTAGAAGTAGAAGTAGTAGTAGTTGTTGCAGTAGTGGTAGTAGTAGTAGTAGTAGTGGTAGTGGTAGTGGTGGTAGTAGTGGTGGTAGTGGTCGTAGTGGTAGCGGTAGTGGTAGTGGTAGTGGTAGTAGTAGTAGTAGTAGTCGTAGTGGTGGTGGTAGTGGTAGTGGTAGTGGTAGTGGTGGTAGTGGTGGTGGTAGTGGTGGTAGTTTATAGTAGTTCTTGTTGCCGTCGTCGTCGTCGTTGTCGTCGTGGTCGTCGTGGTCGTCGTGGTCGTGGTGGTGGTCGTGGTGGTGGTCGTGGTGGTGGTCGTGGTGGTCGTGGTGGTCGTGGTCGTGGTGGTCGTGGTGGTCGTGGTGGTCGTGGTGGTCGTGGTGGTCGTGGTGGTCGTGGTGGTCGTGGTGGTCGTGGTGGTCGTGGTGGTCGTGGTGGTCGTGGTGGTCGTGGTCGTCGTGGTCGTCGTGGTCGTGGTGGTCGTCGTGGTGGTGGTCGTCGTCGTCGTCGTCGCCGTTGCCGTCGCCGTCGTCGTCGTCGTGGTTGTTGTTGTTGTTGTTGCTGTTGTTGTTCATCTTCTGGTTGCTCTGTTGATGTTCATCTTCTTGTTATTGTTGCTGTTCATCTTCTTGTTGTTGTTTTTGTTGTTGTTCTGGTCGTGTTGTTGTTCATCTTGTTGTTGTTGTTCTTGTTCTTGTTGCTGTTGTTGTTCATCTTCTGGTTGCTCTGTTGATGTTCATCTTCTTGTTATTGTTGCTGTTCATCTTCTTGTTGTTGTTTTTGTTGTTGTTCTGGTCGTGTTGTTGTTCATCTTGTTGTTCTTGTTCTTGTTCTTGTTCTTGTTCTTGTTGTTGTTGTTGCTGCTGCTGCTGTTGTTGTTGTTGTTGTTCTTGTTGTTGTTGTTGTTGTTGTTGTTGTTGTTGATATGTTTGAAAGGGCCTTGTCGCATAGTTCCTAACAGTCCATCTCTCGGGCCCCCCCCCCTCGGCTGACCCCTCCCTTTAATTGAAAGAATCAATTAGTTCATTGAACCTTTCAATTTTAAGCCTCGCCATATTTCATAAACAACAACTTTCGCTGAGCTCCTTCTGAGCTCACTTTCGTGATATAGTCTATATATAGTTTCTCATAAGAATAGCATTCACATTATGACTTCTAGCTGCTAGCCGCTAGGAGGCCGGGGCTCTGGCCTTTTGCTTCACCCCCAAATGACACGTGGCGGCCATAACGCGGTCGTTGGTCCCCGCCCAATAAATCCGCTGATCCGTTGTGCAAAAGAATCACTAAAATAAGGGTAAAAACACGGCGCATCGTCGACACACACACAAATATCAGACACATATCGACACATCGTCCTTCTTCTTCAGCAGCAGCTTTTGCCTCAACATCTCCACCTTCATCTTGGCCGAGGCTTCCGCCTCACACGAAGTGGTCGCCGCTCTGACGGGACGAACCCCGCTGGCCGGCCGCTTCAAAGTAAAATTAAAAGAAGGAGTGGACTTCTCATATGAAGGCTCAACCGAGGGTGTGTGGAGAAGGGGGGTCAGCCAAAATCGCTTTTACGAAGTTAGTACATCAAAAATACCTTCTACGAAGTTCTACGAAGGTTTCTGCCTGCGCCTTCCACGATTTTAGTAGAATAGGTTTTTACAAAACTCTTTCTGTGCACTACCCTTCCGTTTGCCTCTGATCATATGAAGGTCTTTATTTTTCAGAGTGAGTCATAGTGATAGATGGACCCATGGGGCTTCGATTTCGCCACGCGGTCGGGCTTGGTCTTCTTCGAGCCTCTTGCTGTGTCCGCGTGGGCACTTCGGCAGTGGCCTAAAAGACACTGGCGATGTGGTGTCGGACCATGAGAGGATTCTCAGAGGTTTGCATGAATTCACAATCATATATTATATATAATATAATATATTACACATATATATATTAATTTAGTAATATATAATATATTAACAACTCCCCAAATCAATATCTGAAACTAGAAAGTTGAAAAAGCGGCTGCTCCGGTTGGGTTATTTCGCGGGCTTACGGGTTGGTCGGGAACATACGGGTCTCTTTGACGTTAAGGGTTGCTGGAGGTAGCTAGCCTAGAACCATAGCAAAAACCGCTGCTTCAGTGAAAAACACAACATGCATCACACTGCTTTGCCCTGTGCTGTGGGTCCACAAGTCTGCCGTCCTCACCCTCACTCATTTTTTCTTCCAAAAAGTGCTCCTGTTACAAACCTGCAGCAGATTTCATGTTACATGCGTGTGTCTGTGTGGGCTGGAGGCCACATGGCACGAAGTCCGAAGGGTTCTCCCCTGAGCCGACTAGTTGCTAAATGAAAGCGGACTTGAAGAGTACTCTTTCCTGAAAATGGTACTGTTGAGCCAGCAAGAAATTTACTGTGGAATAAGCAAGCAAATGAAGTAGTCAGTCTTTCCCCAACCGCTTATCTAGTGGAAGCCCTTCATAGGTCAATTGGGTGTGTAATGGTGTGTGTTAAGATAGGGACCTCTGAGGGGTTCCGAGTTCGGTTCGGAAAATGCGTCTACCCAGCCAGTGGCGAGGGGGGGGGTTATCATTCTTCAAACACCCAGCCGCAGATTCCTCTGGATGTCAAAGCACCAGCATTTGGGGCTTGGGGTTTTGACCCGCCGTTTGAGTTGAAGGCTCCATCGTGCTTCGTCCCGGCCTGACTGGCCAAGGCCGCTGGCATGCTGATCTCATGAGCGATCGACGCGGAGCGGTATTTTCCGCCCGCGCCGTTGTGGAGACCGTAGTGGAAAGGGGAAGAACCAATAGAACCAGAAGTCAATGTGCTGGTTCACGTCTGCGGGTTGTATTGACTTGAGAGTGGTCTTGGGCTGCACTTCAAAACAAGCACACATGGTTGTCAGGGGTGGTCTGCTGGCAAGGTTTGGGACTCTCCCAACAGGTTTGGGTGCGCAATGCGCAAACTCTTTTGTAGCTTCCTGACAGCATCAGAGTTGGTTCAACACAAAAATATGTGAGACGTGGATCACGCTCACTGTCTTTGGAATGTCTTGACACTGCAAAAAGGCACTTCCCGACACCATTTTCTCACCTGAAACTTCTAGAAGCTACAGTGTTCCATCGATCATCTTAGAAAGGTTTCTGCCTGGGACGTCAACCCCTTTTTGGGCTACTTGCACTTAAGCTGATCCTACGTTTCTGCCTGCCGCGGCGTGGGCGTGCGCGTGGGCAGAGGCGGATTGATCGGCCAACCACTCCACTCCATCTCCGTTCCACCAGCTCCACCATCTCCCTGGACCCCGTTCTCATCCGGTTTCTCCGTTTTGAGGTTGCTAAGCTGAAGGAGTCAACTGAACCCCCAAAAAGAAGGCTCTGAACCAACAAATGGCCAGTGGGCGTCCTATTCGAAGTGTGGAGGTGTGCATGTTCCAGGCTCGAAGTGGGGGATTCGCGCATTGCTCGGGACTCTATGATTCCAAATCATGATGTACTGTAGATTTCTAGGCACCGTGAAACCATTCCAGATCTTACCGAAACATTCCTGCTGTGGGCATATACTGTCCTGACTACTGTCCTGCAAACGTCCCACAGCTTGCTGAAATCAATCCAATGTCTGACGTTTTTCTGGTTTGCAGCTGACCAATAAAGTGGTTTTCAACAAGGTGACACCTCGAAATTGTCCTGAACCTTCGACCCGGTGGTTCCATCCATGATACCCCTTCAAAGGAACCAAAGGAACCATCTCGTTGCCTTCCCATCTGCTCCCAGTGTTAACCAATTACCAAACGAAAAAGGCCCGGCAGGTATTATCACCTTGACTTGGATGTCAGTCCTATGGCCACCACCGACGGATCTTCACAAAATCCATCAAAATCCACACCGATCATCTACTGTTTTGGGGCGAAAGAGGTGCGTACGACACATGAAAAGACTCCAATTAATGTGCAAGCGACAAAAGCTACCCCCGGCTACAAACCTGGAACAACCTGGATTTCGATGGCTCTACCCAAACTCAAGGGGCAAGACCAGATCGACTGAAGTAAGTATCTCTGGGTGCAACGATGGGGCATCCCGGAAGACGACGCAAACATGAAACCAAGCAGTGGTAGGAATGACCAGGTCTCTGACATCCCAATTTAAACATATTCAATATGGCATGATATGTCACGCACCCGAATAAAAACGACATCAAGGTGTAGAGGATTTCCCTGAGGATGGAGGGGTACCCACCGTTGACTACCGTTGGTTCCGACCGCCCCAAACGGCACGTCCGGTCACGAGACATCTGAGACGGCCCAGGTCACGAGACATCTGAGATGAACATGTTTTCAGTGCTCAGCTCCCATCATGACCCAAAAAAGACGAAAGAACCTGAAAACACACCCCACACAAACACACACATATATATATATATAAACTCATAAGATCTCATAAGATCTCATAGGTGTCGGACATGTCCCAAAAACTCACACTTCCAGGTTTTGGCAACCGGCCATCAATGAATCCTCTTCAGAAGTTGGGCACCTTGACTGAGATATACCCAACTAGCACTGAGGCTTCTTGCCCATGGTTCTCATGGTTCATCCCGCGCACAAAAGCACCCCCCGCGTGCTCCACTCATTTCACCGGGGGTGAGTGGCTGGAGCGGAAGGGAGCACCTCCTTGATTCTTCGCTACTCTAAACCAAAACATGCAGCGGACCAAGAGGGATTTCATCTGGGAAGTCCTCTTTGCAGCGACCCATTTTGGGAAAAGAACACAGAAAAACACCATGGAAAAACTGTTCTTGGTGGCCAATCCCACCCGGTGGTCCAGGCGTTGGAAATCCCAAGAGCCCAAAGAATCCAATGGGCCGCTGTGCAAAATAGATGGACTAAATAGGGCGCTCTGTTGAAAGGAATCAGTTCAATACATAAACCTCATTGTGTGTTCTTCTACACCAGTAAACATCCTTCCATGTCTCTTACTCAAAACCACATCCCAAAGCGCAACGATTGCAGCCATCGTAGTATCAAACCACCAAATTCTGTTGGACTTTCCCCTGCCTCTTCACCCCATCCTTCTCCAGTCAGTTGCCCACAACACCGACCCACAGGTTTGGTGGAAGACCATGGACACTTTCTCATCTTGCCCAAATCAATTTACTAAACATTCACCTACATCAGCTTCAAAAGGTGTACTCAGTGTACTCATTGGGTGGTTGCTTGGTATGAACCCCATGTGTTGGCTCGGTCCCACACCGGATCCACCTCCCGGAGCCGCCCTCCGAACCGAGCCCCTCGAGCCCTGATCCCGGCCCGGCTCTTTTCGCAGCAGAACCGAGCCCTGTCACGATTTCAGCTCGAAAACCTGCACATGCCTCAATGACGGTGGCAGGTGGGTCTGATACGCGGTGGGGAATCTGAAACCTCTCAAAAGGGTCTTTCTGTGAAAGGCACGGTTCCGTCTACAGTATGGTTTTACGTTCTCTTTGAAAGGCAATTCTTTCCTGAAACATCATTCGTAGCATTTTTTGTGGCGAACATGTGGTTTGTTGGACCAAGTTAGGAATATTTGAGATGGTGGCATGTCCTTCGTTCGATTTGGGATTCTCAATTTTTTTGAATGCACAGGCCAAGAATGAAGGTTCTGATCCATCAAACCTCAAGAGTTTCCACTTGTAGGTGTGGTTTGAACATGTGAGGGGATTGTCGGAGGTTGGTACCCCCAAATCTTATGAACCTATGAATGTTTTTTTCACTGTTTGTGGCCTGTAGAATTGTAGGGTTTCTTGTTTTTCACATTTTCTGTATCGAAGAAAGGTGCAGGAAATCTCTCTGTTTACTGAAACATGAAGTCAAAACTAAAAAATACTAGAGCGGTGACACCCAAGCCTTTCCTGAGAGGTGATGTTTTTTAATGCAGTTTTTGTCGATCTTCCCAAATCGCCGCGCGTCCTCTTAGTTCCTATATGCCACTATGCAATGCAGGTCGTGGACATTCTTGGACTGTACATGTACACTGATTTGTGCGTGTGATCCTTGAAGCAAGGTGCGCACGCTAATCTTTAACACCCCCTCTTATACTCTCTGACATTGCAGAGATGTTCTACCCTAAATCTGCGTCTCAAACATTTGTGAGACCGCCTCATTCTCCACTCAACTAGGTGACATGTTCATGATCACCTTCATTGCTGCGCTGGCCACCTCTCGTGTCACAAATGCGGATTGCACTTGACTCAGCCGGTGGATTCCAAGGTTCAGCGCCATCTCCATCTGACTCAACCACAACATGCTCATCTAGCCACTAGCGCTGCTGATAATTTATTACGCTGCTGCCTCAACTGGTCTTGTCTCTTCTTCCTCTTCAACCATCACTTCCTCATACTGCCCTCAACTTCGCTCATTTCCCCAGATTCGCTTCTGTTATCCGGCTCGAAAGATTCTGAAGCTCGGTCACTCTGTTCCCACTTTATGAAAGTGATTGAACTTGCCATGAAGGCTTGAGGGTCCGGTTTTTGACACAGAAGCAAGAGGATGATATCCTTTGATATCCGCAGTGGAAGTTCGCAAAGATGGTTGCTGATTAACCAAATTGCTGTCACAGCCAAACTCCATGCTCCTCTATTCATGGAACTTTCTTCTATTTTCAAGGGACCGCTTCTAGGCCCCATTTCTGCGTAAGTTGGAACCCGGCAAGAACGATTGACTCATTCATGCTTGTCGAAGCTGATGCCCGTGCAAAAGAGCCCAAGATTCAAGATTGCATTCTTACAAGGTCGTCGTTGTGTACTCAACTGTTTCCAAGTGACTGCACTGCTCTCTCACAGTGCGTTGAACCGCACCACAGTGCCAGCCCTGCCTGGAAGATACGCTGCGAGTTTCTTGGGTGGGTCCATTCGTCTGACGCCAACACTCTCACTGCATACCGAATGTCAATGTCACCTCTTCTCGCGCAAGAAAACAAGTGCAGATCGAAAAACTACATCTTCTGCGCTCAACCGGTCGCCTTCTTCAACTTCCTGGCCTCTGCTTGGTATACGCATCCAACGTAAGGGAATTTGGCATGGGGATGTATCTCGAAGAAGTGCAAATCTCTAGACCATCGCGATTACATAAATCCCAGCCGCCTCTAGAAATTATAGACCACTCCTGGGATACCCATGCTCTGCGGGCCTTGAGTCGTAAGAAGTTGCTGAAACGAGCTAAGAACTTGCTGCATGCTTCCACTGGAGCAACAAGCATAACAAGCAACATGATCCAGATTAACCTGTGCTTCTAGGGGCGCAAGCAAACAGACACGGCCAAATACAAGCACAATCGTCTCACGCCAGGCATGTCATCATTTTCTGTAAGTGGGCCTGATTCTTGAATAATCTTGAATACTTCAATCACAGCTGCCCAAATGTTGTGGCAAAGAAGCGACCTGTCTTGAGGAATCCCATGAAAGCTGTGCTTTCATAGAAGTCTGCAAGCGATCTTTCCACCCCTGAACATAGTTGGCAGCCTTGGCATCCTTGAATGTGGCCTCCACTACCTCCTTTGTCTCAGCTCCTTACTAGAGAGCACACTGCTGCTTGAGTGCACTTAAGTTCATCACGTGAGCCAAGGTCCTTTAAACAAACATCAATTTTTCTGTGAGATCGACGCCCCCCACCTGTGAACTGCAGAAGCACTTGCGCGTGCACTCTGAGCAGCTTGACTGTGTTCCCCCCTTTGCCACTGCGTTTGAAGCCTTGAACCTCAGCTGCTTTGTCCTCAAAGTACATCGACTGATATAGGTTGGATCTGGCCCATACGAGTGGCGGTGAAAACGCAATTTCGATT